TTTCAAGATCAGTTGATTCACTCTGAATTTGATTGGGATCTACCATGTTTGGAATAGACTTCTCTAATCAGTTGGAATCTAAAATCATGTAAATTATGAAAAAAAATAAATATAGGTAATAATGTTAAAATTGGTTAGATGATGTTAGGGATGTGTACTCAGTGTCATAAGTAATGTTGCTTATGGAGTAGCTTAATACTCTCGCAAATTTGTTCATTTGGACCCTAGTTCAAAAGACCCTTTTCAAGTTAAAAATATTATATATTGTCTTATAAAGTCATTCTAAATATTGTCCACAATTAATATAAGATGCATATTCATTGGTCATTGAACTAGTGTTGTTCTCATTTGCGAAGCGTATGTTTAGGGTAGCAACATACAAACTTGTTGGCTTATTTTTCCTATGAAGAAAAATATTATAAATGCGAACGTGTCAGTAAGGATTAAAAAATCCTTACAGATTAAATTCAAGCCAATTATCAAGCGATTGCGTTGACGGTTCTTTTGTCTCAACAAAGAGAACTTCAAAATTGCCAAGTGTAGAAAAAAAAAATTAAAAGAAGAATGAGAGAGACGGAGAAAGATGATTGAGTGAACAATTAAAGTAATAATTACTTACCTCTACTCCTATACTTCGAAAAGAAAATGCTGAAAATAAATGTTTCGAAATATAAATCTATGTTAAACTACTTCTAAGATAAGGAAAATGACAAGAGATATTGAAATCAATTATTTTTTATTTGAATTCTGGATCTTTACAATGTAGCCATGAATGGCTATTTATAGAGGAAAAAATACAGTAATAACTACTTAGTAACTACCCAATTCTTCCATCTTCATTCTTGTCTGGTTATGTATCCTTCCACTCATCCACTTTGTCCTTCATATTCTCTATCATCTCTATAACTTCTTTTAACTTCCAAATGAATAAGAGAATGCCACGTGTCTTGAAAATAATAATAATAATATTTTATGGTGCCAACATTACCCCCCGCAGCCCTTAAAAATGATATTTACTTGAATTTTTGAAGGGCCGAACCAAGAACATGACTAATCTAAGCAATAAAATGCTTTGAACAAAGTGCTTCAAATGATATAATAGCACCAATAAAGTGCTTCGAATGATGTAATAGCACTAATAAAGTGTTTCGAAGATTATCAATAACAAGCTTCAAAGGTGGTATAAAAGACCAAATTCATCGTTCGAAGGTCTTGCGGCATAGTTTTGAAGGAGTAACATCATCCCTCAAAGGTTGTGTACGGGAAAGAAATACATCTTCTCGTATAATCCTGTTGACCAAGTCCACGCTCCTCCGTATGACGTCGCTTTATCACCTGAAAACACAAACGTGAGCTAGCCGGCGGGTGTGTGCCGAAAACCTCTCCGATGCCTAAGTCAGAAAACTTGACAGATACACAAAACTCAATGTTCTCAGAAAGCAAAATTATGTTCTGTTCTGTTACCTCTTCCAAGGTGATGTTTGTGAGCTTTTATATGTTTCGAATGGCACAATCCTAGTAAGACTTCTATTCCTTCATGCAGAGTCCTCCTAGGATTCATACTCCTAAGGATAATGCTTATCCTTTTACACCCCCCCAACTGCTTAAACCATGTGGGATGGTTTTTACTTTGGCCGAACTATGATATGACCGAAATAAGCTTGGCTATGCAGAGCCACTGAGTAGGCCGAACTATTCTTAGTTCGGTTCTTACGTTTACCCTTTCTTATCTCGGTTTTCCGTGTAGAACCCATGGTACGGGCTTAGACCGAACCAATGATTTTCGGCCGGTATGACTCCAAGACCGGCATAACTCCAAATCGTTCTGGACCGAAGTATCTTTACCGTCCCTGAGCCGAAGTAATTTTACCTCCCTGGCCGGAGTAACCTTGTCTTTCCTAGGCCGGAGTAACCTTGCCTCTCCTGGGCCGGAGTAAACTTTTACATTTTTATTGGGCCAGAGTAATCATTACGGCCTTTTTACTCAGTCCTTCGTACTTTGGGCCACAAAGCCCAACTCACAGCTCGGCCCAATTTTTCCCAAAAATTACCCTCTCAATTGCCCCTTAATTCCATTTGCACAACATGATTGGGATTACAAGTCTTCCAACCGAGCTAAAGTTCTTCAAGCCTTTCCAGCCGAGCTAAAAACCCTTTAGCCTATCCAACCGAGCTAATTTTACCCCGGGCTCTGTTCTGTTCGGTCAAAACGTCTCTTCAATCACGACTGTCACGCTTCACTTTCCAACGACACGTGGCAGGTTCTGATAGGCTGTGAGCTGTTATCACGCCGCCCTCGTACTTCGAAATTTTTGAACAGTCCCGTCCCTTTTTGCCGTTTTTTCTCTCTCCTCTTTCACAAAACAACCTTTCTATTCTTGAATCATTCACCTTCCATTCTTCATCTTCTCTCTCTGTGCTCTTGCTGTTCTTCCGTTGCTTCTGAAGACTGATTTTGCTGCTACTTTCCCATCTCCAGATCCCTCTTCTTCAACCTGGTAAGTAAACTCATTTTGCTTCCTTTGTTTGCTTTCATATCTGTTCTATGTATTTTGTTTACCGTATTTTTGCAAAACATTTTCTTCCATTGTTGCTTTACTTTTGTACTTTCATGAAAAAACAATAGAACTTATACGTGTATGAACTGTGTTGTAGAAAATTAGTCTCTGATCCAAAATCTTGTCCCAACCGAACTAGGATACTGTTTTTGTGCTATATCGGTAAATCACCTTAGACAATTAACCGAACTAAAACTTGTAGAGATGACAGCAGCTTCGAAAAATAAACTTCTGATTCAACTTAGCCGAAATAAGATCATCGAACGAAGTTTGAATGCAATAAACTAGGAACCTCAGTCTTTAACCGAGCTAAGCCTTTGAGGCTAAACCAGCTTTCTCAGTTTCTATATCAAACTCCGAAAGCTGCCCCTAGAGGCTCAACCGAAGTAACAAAACACATAGCTTAACCGATTTAGGCCTTGGGGCTATGCCAGCTTTTTTAGTTTTTAGACCGAACTAAGAAAGCTGTCCCCAGACGATGACCCGGTCTGATACGCAACCCGCTCAAACCGAGCTACCAAACCTTTTGATGAACCAAGGTAGAACCAATCCACAAGGCCGAAGTAGGGCTCTTATACCTTGCTTTTAATTTGTAGCACGGTCCAACGGTCTGTGCTTAACCCGTGTTTTCTACTTTGCAGACTTAGGTTGCCCAGGCACTCCTGCGTGCGCTCAATCGAGCTACTGAGCATAATATTTGCACCGAAATAACTTATTCTTAAATTATGCGGTAGATGGGGAAGTATAGATACCTAGTAAATACTCCGGGTGGCCTAGCCGAATTCAGGAAAGACTACCAAATACCTGACGACGTCCAGCTGATTCTGGCCGAAAAAGACGTCATTCCCTGGGACAACGAAGGCTTCGTCCCCTTCACCCTTTTATCCATTATAGAAATCGGGCTACGGTTTCCGGTTCAACCGTTGATCTGTGAATTTCTTAGGCAGACTAGGTTATGCCCCACCCAACTGTCCACCAATACATACCGCATTATTATGGGAATAGCCGCACTAAACCATCAAACCGGACTAAACCTTGGTCTGGCCGAAATTTTCCACCAATACTCCATCGGCTCAAAAGATGCTGGGTGGGTCTATTACCTTAGGATTCGCCGCCGCCGAGAGAAGATAGTTAAACACACACCGGACAAAGACCTTAATGATGATGATTTTTTCTGGGTCTCTGGGAACTTTGAGGATTTTCAAGCCCAAATTCCTGGCCGACCTATAAATTGGAAAAAAGGGGAGCCCGGTAATTTAACTTCGGTCTTGTTCCTTGCAATTTTTTATTTCGGTTTTGCTAGTCCATCAACCGGACTAACAGTTGTCTCTTTTTTCGCAGATTCTGCTCACCTTCATTCCTTGTACAGTTATCCAAATCTTGCAGTGTTGCGAGCCGCACTACAGTATCCTGAACGTAGTTGGGCCAAGTTGCTGCAATTCGAGCCGACCTACCGATATAGCGGTCGTCGAAAAGCCCGAGTGACCGACTTCCTTCTTGAAGACGCACCTGAACCGGACCCTACCTTGCCCGAAATACGACTTGCCCCACTAACCGCTGAAGAAGAGATGGCAAAGAAAAGCAGAGTTAGGGCCCTTCTGACCGCAACAACCATGGCCGAAGTACCACCAACAATCCAAACGCAGCCTGCCATTGTGGCCCTCCCTTCTCAACAGCCTTCTTCATCTTGCCCTTCAAAATGCGCCCGATCTACATCGACCGAACAACAACTTGTCGATGAGGTTGAATCCATCCCCCAAAGTCCTCAACCTACCCTTCAACCGGAGTAAACTGACCGAGCGGAATCTTCCAAATGGGCTCCGCAACTAACCTTCAACGACCGAGATATCAAAGACTCTGATTCGGTTGTTGCTGAAAAAGATCATCAATTGGCCTTCAACCTGGCCAAGAGTGTGTGCCTCCCCAAAGACATGGAGCACCACCTAAAGCAACTAAACACCGAATTGAAATCCATCCGGTCTTCATCGAAGTCCATGATTTTGGTAAGTAGTTCTGTCCGTTTTTTCTGGCTAATTTTTCCTACATTTACTTCGGCTTAAGGGAAATCTTCGTTTTGCCAGGCCTTACAGAAAAACAACATAACTTACAAGAAAGTCCAAGAGCTTAGAAAAACCACAAGGCAAGCAATGGCGGAAGCTGAGGCAAAAACGGCCGAGCTGGAGGATGCCAGAAAGGAAATGGCCGAGCTATGCGGGGAGGTCGGCAGACTGACCGGACTAGTTAGTTCGGCCGAAGCCGAAAAGCAAAAGACTGCCATTGCTCTGAAGGACAAGTACCTGCGTGAGCTGGTAAAACTTGAAAAGAAGAAAGACGCCGAAATAACCCAAGCGAAGGAGGACGCCAAGGAGGCCCAGAAGAAGGGTTTCAAGAAGGCAGAGGATGTATACGTCAAGCAATGTGAGGCTGCCAAGGAGCTGTTTTTTAAGTGCGGCTGGAGGGGAGCCATTGAGAAGCTCGCCAGTTGATGTAGTGGTCATCTTCTATGTCCCTCTTAAACCATCCACAGCAGCGGTCACAATCACAATCCCACTCCAACTCGCTAATCAAATCCAAGACTTCTTCCGGTCTTCCTTCTTCCCAATCTCCTTCATCACCATAGTGAGAGGGCGAAACCAGGCTTTCCTCGTATGCAGACACATAATAATAGTCATCGTTCAGGATTTGAATCACTCTGTGTGAGTCCTCTTTCGGATTGTACACCAATGTTTGCTTCTCATCCATTGCCATAAGAATTTCACCATGCTTTGTATAGCAGAAAGACACCATCTCATGTGTTTGTCCCACGACATTATCAAACAAATTGAACAAAATAGTCCATGATTCCCCAACACCATATTCCTTCATGACCAATACCTCAATTTCATAGTCGAAACATTGCACCATACAAAGGCATTCCTTCAAAACTCCCAATCCCAATATTCTATTTCTAGCCCGCGGCGTTGGAACTTCTACAAATTGTTCTGTCCATGGATCAAAACAAACGATCTCAGTGTGTGCAACCAACCAATGCAACCTTTCATCCACTACAGGCCCCGATTTCAATTCTCCGCCATAGGGGAACTCAATCCTGTACCAATATTTGGTTTTCAAACTAACAACCAATGCAACTTGGCCAAAAACCATTACTGCTTTATAATCATCAGCGAACGAGTCGTAACAGAGTCCAGAGATATCATAAACTCTCGAGCTAACTCGGTCGCCGGGGCTTGAATTCAGAAGCTTAAGCACTTTTCTGCATTGGTTTGTTGAAGGGTTCCACAAGTAGAGATAAAAGGAATAGCTTACAAGCAACAAACCATTGCAAGAACCTAAGATTTGAAGCAAACCCAACATGTCTTCCATTGGTTTCGGAAGCTGTCTCAACGAAACTTCTCCTTCTTCCTCCACCTCGTCAATAGCGTATAAGTAGAAATTGGATTTGATGATTAATTGGTGTCTTGTACAAGAAAATTTAAATTTGGAATCCGATATGAGAGAATTCCACCGTTTGCAAATGGACTTAAATCGCAAGAGAGATTTGACCGGTAGACGCGAGAGGATTTCGATGGTGATGTCTTCTGAGATGTTTGGCTGCCGTGATTTGGAAGGAAAATTGGGTCGTATGAGATTGCACTGTAAAGGGGGGAAGAACAGGTTCTTAATATAACTATGGCCATTCTTTTTCTCTCGGGTTTTCATTGTTTTCCCACTCTTTCTTGGTACTTTTCATTGGTTAATCAAGAACTACTAAGGAGTAACTGAGTAACTAATGGGTTAGGGTATGTAGGGTTTTCATGTATCTGTAGGTAAACTTATATGGGTATTGATGAATGGTCGTGGTGGTGGGTTGCTAGGGTTTACAAAGTGGCTACAAAAAGGAGGAGGCTTGAATTATTGAGAAATTATTTAGGCTCCGTTTGTTTTGATGTTAAAAATATTTTACTTATTTTAACAAAAAAATAAGTAATAAAATATTTTTTAAGAAAAATATTCTTGCATCATTTTTTCAAAAATAACTTATTTTTAAATATTTCACAAGTCAGTTTTTATAAAGTTAACTCTCACTCAGTACCTTTTTAACACATTTAGTCTTTTTAAATAAATATTTTAGCTCACAAAAAAGTCATAAATGACACTTTATTGAATCAAAATTTTTATTTTGGACAATAAAATATTTTTGTTTCAAGTGTCAAATACTGAAAAATAAAAACAAAAATATTTTTTCTGCGTAAAATCAATTTACAAGAAATTTTTTTTTTTTTATAAAATATTTTACGTTAAAACAAACGGAGCCTAAGGAGTATTGGAGTTTTCCATTCAATTATTAATTAATTGACATCTTTTACATTATTTTTTTAATACACTAGAATAAAATATTGGTAATAAGCCCAATTTCGGTTTATAAATGCAATCTACTAAGTTAACTCCTATTAATTAGGCAAATAAATTGGAAAAGTACGTTATCCTCTTGCTTGATCCTCAAGGCAATGTTGCCGATCTTAACTTTATCCTCTTGCTCGAATAAAACTCCAACTATATTCTCTACTTTTCACTAGTTAAAGTACGAAAAAAATATTTTCTTTATTTTATCAAATTACTTTAAGGGTTAGTTTGGGAAGTGGGTTGGCTTTTTGGCTTTTTGATTTTTTTGACTATTTTAGCCTGGGCTAAAAAGCTTGGTTTGGGAAGGGCTTTTTGGCTTTTTGGCTTTTTTAACTTTTTTTGTGAGAGAAGAGTGTAATGATTATGGGTTGGATGGGATGTTTTATTTTTTGTGGCTAAAATAGCCTATTTTGTCTTTTGTGACTAAAATAGTCAAAAAAGCCCAAAACCTATGTTGCCAAACAGAGGCTAACTATTGTGTCTTTCAACCACGCTCTTTATTTTAGTTAATCATTTAAACTAACTTAATTAATTTTTAAAATAAAAAAATATTAATTGTTGATATTTTACTAATATAAATTTGTAATAATAATAAATTTGCCCATACAAACATACAAAACTTGTAGAATGAGGAAAAAAAAATACAAAATACAAAATAAATTTTTCCGTAATTCATCAAACAGAATTGAAAGAACATATAAAATTACTACATACGCACACACACACATATTTATATATATAAAATCTCAAATCCAAGACATAAATATACAAAAATCTAAAATATATACATACATAATTGTTTGGAGAGCCTCTGGGGCTCTTCAATTGTAGCCACCAAAAAAATAGAATGGTAAAGTAACTAGCCCAATAGAGCTCAAAATTAGACTTACATTGGCTAAAATACCTAACAAGTTTTGTTTAACTATCCCTTGGAGATGAAGTGAGACTCGTTTGGGGTGTCCTAAATAAGTGCATTTTTTATCTTTTTGGACTAAAAAATTGAGGGAAAAAATATGTATGTTTGGGTTAACTTTTTGACTTTTTTTGAAAAAATGTATATTAAAAAATTGTATAAATTAGTGTGTAAGAGAAAATAAGGATTAGAAGTTGTGCAGTCGTAATTTTTGACTTTTAATAAATAGTGATAACTTTTTAATTTTTTGAATAACCTTTTGACTTTTTTGACTTTTTTTCAATTTGCCAAACGGCGCCTCAATACATTCCAATGGGAAAAAAAACACTTTTTGAGCCAACTAATCTATCACTGTTTTAATGGTGTTCAACATTGCAACATGTTAAAACGTTTCAAAGAAATTCAATACTATGAGTTGAAACTTAAGCCTTGTGAATCCACTTGAAGTGGGTTGGCTTTTTGATTTTTTTTTATTTTTTATTTTAACTTAGGCTAAAAAGTCTGATTTGAAAATGACTTTATGGTTTATTAGCTTTTTTTATTTTTTTTTTTTTGTAAGAAAATAATGTAATGATTATAAGTTAGATGTGATGTTTTATTTTTTGTGACTAAAATAACCTAATTTATCTTTTATAACTAAAATAACCAAAAAAAAAAAAAACTAGAAATCAACTTGCCAAACGGAATTATTGTTTCCTTCCATGTGGGCAAATCAATAAAGTCATAGATAAAATGAATACTCCCTCCGTCCCAAAATAATGGTCCCTTTTGGGGAATTCAACTTTTTTTGGTAGTACAATTATTGCATTTGAAAAAAATTGATTTTCCAAAATGACCCTTTTGATAGTACATTTTTTGAGAATATCAATGTCATAATTGTACTTTTTATATTGTTTATTAATTTAAAAGAGGGGCAAAATAGGAAATTTATATTATTTTTGTACTTGATTTTAGAAGAGGGACTAAAATTTTGGGACAATGAAAAATGGAATAAGGGACTAATATTATGGGACGGAGGGAGTAATAATGGTATCATTACTGTACGGGAAAGAAATAAACTTTCTCGTATAATCCTGTTGATCAAGTCTGCGCTCCTCTGTACGACGTCGCCTTATCACCTGAAAACACAAACGTGAGCTAGCCGGCGGGTGTGTGCCAGAAACCTCTCCGATGCCTAAGTCAGCAAACTTGACAAATAGACAAAGCTCTGTGTATTCAAAAAGCAAAGTTGTGTGTTACCTCTCCCAAGGTGATGTTTGTGAGCTTTTATAAGTTTCGTGTGGCACAATCCTACTAGGACTTTTACTCCTCCATGTAGAGTCCTCCTAGGATTCATACTCCTGAAAGATAATGTTTATCCTTCAACACCCCCCTCACTGCTTAAACCAAGTGAGATAGTTTTTACCATGGCCGAACTACAACATGACCGAAATAAAACTAGCTATGCTAAGCCACAGAGTAGGCCGAACTATCCTTAGTTCGGTTCTTCCTTTTACTCCTTCCTTATCTCGGTTCTCTCATGTACAACCCATGGTGTGTTTAGACCGAGCTTCCGAGTAGCAAGGTTCCGACCGTTCTAACCACAATACGTTATGACCGGACTAACTCTGAGACCGGCCTAACTCCAAGTTGCCCGGACCGAAGTAACTTAACATTTCTTCTGGGCCGGAGTAATCTTTTACCTCTCCTGGACCGGAGTAATCTTACAGCCTTTTTACCCAGCCCTTCGTACTTTGGGCCATAATGTCCATCTCATAGCTCGGCCCAAATTTTACCAAAATTACCCTCTCAATTGCCCCTTAATTCCATCTGCACAGCATGATTGGGATTACCTGTCTATCAGCCAAGCTGAAGTTTTCTAAGCCTTTCCAGCCGAGTAAAAAAACCCTTTAGCATTTCCAGCCGAGCTAAAACGCTTAAGCCTTTCAGCCGAGCTAATTTTACACCGGGCTCTGCATGTCCGGTCGAAACGTCTCTTCAATCACAGCGACTGAATCGTTTCTCCTTCCCAGGACACGTGGCACGCTGATTGACTGAGGACGGCTGTCACGCCGTCTTCGTACTTCGTGAAATTTGAACAATCCCGCCCTTTTTCCTTTACCTAAAAACGAGCCTCTTCACTTTTGCCATATTTTGCAACTTCTCCCTCTCTGTGCTTCTTCCACTTCTGTGCTCGTGTTCTCCATTATTCTTCATAGTTTGTGAACTACTGCTGTTTGCTTCCATCTTCATTTCCTGCTTCCTCATCTGGTGAGTTTTGTACATCTTTCTTTGTTTTCGTATTTTGCTTTCTGTGTTTTTGCAAAACATATCTTTCCATTTCATTCTGCTCTATACTTTTTAACAATAGAACACATATGTGTATGCAATATCCTGTAGAAGACTAGTCTTTGATCCAAAATCATGACGCAACCGAACTAGGATACTGTTTAAGCTAGGTAAAAGTCTGGTCAGCGTACAACCGGACTAACACTTCATGTTAACACCAGTAACTTTGAATAAGTCAAAACTTCTTGATAGTCCTTAGCCGAGGTAACCAACCGAACTAAGTTTGCATTTAGCATACTGAGATACCTAAACTCCAACCGATCTTAGGCTTTCGGGGCTAAACCAGCTTTCTTAGTTTTTTAGACCGAACTCAGAAAGCTGCCCCTAGACGATGAACCGGTCTAACAAAATCGTTTCCATAACCGATATGTCGAGACGCTTGCCAAGGTTGAGCTAACAAAAACCATGCTCAAACCAAGCTACCAATCACCTTGCAAAAATCGAGATAGAACCTGTAGTATCCACAAAGCCGAAGTAGGACTTTTTTACCTTGCTTTTAATTTGTAGCACAATCCAATGATCTGTGCTTAACACCATTTTTCTTCACTTTGCAGACTTAGGTCGCCCAGGCACTCCTCTGCGTGCATAACCGAGCTACTGAGCATAATTTTTGCACCGATCTAATTTATACATAATTTATACAATAAATGGGGAAGTATAGATATTTAGTAAATACTCCGGGCGGCCTAGCCGAATTCAGAAAAGACTACAATATACCCGATGACGTCCATTTGATTTTAGCCGAAAAAGATTTCATACCCTGGGGAAACGAAGGCTTTGTCCCCTTTACCCTTTTGTCCATAATTGAGACCGGACTACGATTTCCAGTCCAACCTTTAATTTGTGAGTTTCTTAGGCAAACCAATCTATGCCCAACCCAACTATCCACCAACTCCTATCGTATTATAATGGGTATAGCCGAACTGAACCGCCAGGCCGGTCTCAACCTCGGTCTGGCCGAAATCTTTCACCAATACTCCATTGGTTCAAAAGAAGATAGGTGGGTCTACTATTTAAGAATACGTCGTTGCCGAGAGAAAATAATAAAACATACACCGGATAAAGACTTAAATGA